CGCTGTATCACTTTTATGAGTATACAGGACAATGAATCTATTGGCTCATATTGAGAATCACATTGTTTTGGGGCGGAAGAACAATTGCAAATGACTGATGCCCAAATATGAAAATGTTTTAGTTGCTCACCATTTGTACTATTTTCTTATAGGACTTATCAAGCAAAGCACAGAAACATTCAGGCGTTTACAATTGTGCGAGTATAAAACAGTGTCTTTGCTCATGTCTGCATAATGCAGGGCTGTCCGTGAGTGTCCAGCTACACATTATGATCTTCCTCCCAGGTAATTCTGGGCACCAACAGGGTGAAATCTGGGACTGCGGAAGACACAAGCACCGGCAGCTGGAACATCTCAGCAGGTTTTTCCTGACCTTCACTTTTGCTGACTGCGTTGGCTTTTGTTACACTTACCAGGACCAGAGGAGCTAGAAGCAGACGGCATTCCCTCACATCCAATTACACTCTCTGTTAGACAAAAGCAGATCCTTGCTGCATCAGTATTAACACTAGCAGGAGCATTCCAACTGCACCTAATGTACAATCATATTGCTGTAGTGATTCTTAATCAGATTGGGCACTGATGGTTATTACTCGCCCAGAGACCTGACGTCTTGCTCCCGCAATACTGCTGCTTAATGGAGCTAATGGTGTAGGCCTGCTTAACCCCTCCACCTCCTTATAGAAGTCTGGGCTGTTATCTATATATTGACTGATCTGGAAAACACTGCACTGCACAACACCAGAATAACATACTTGATTAATAAAATACAATTCACATACATAATAAATAAGACCGACATGTAAAAAAAATGAAGGCCCTACTGTTTGTCGCAGGCTAAATATAGTATATTTTTGTAAGTATGTAGACATGCATAATATATCATACACACACTTTTCAATTTCTTACAATATGCAGTGTCTTGAAAAAGTATTCATACCCCTTGAAAGTTTCCACTCTTTGTTATGTTACAACCAAAAATGTAAATGTATTTTTTTGGGGGATTTTCGGTGATAGACCAACACAAAGTGGCACATAATTGTGAAGTGGAAGGCAAATGATAAATGTTTTCAAAATTTTTTACAAATAAATATCTGAAAAGTGTGGCATGCATTTATATTCAGCCCCCCCTTCCCTTCCCCCCGAGTCAATACTTTGTAGAACCACCTTTCACTGCAATTACAGCTGCAAGTCTTTTTGGGGATGTCTGCACCAGCTTTGCACATCTAGAGAGTGATATTTCTGCCCATTCTCCTTTGCAGAATAGCTCAAGCTCTGTCAGATTGGATGGAGAGCGTCTGTGAACAGCAATTTTCAAGTCTTGCCACAGATTCTCAATTGGATTTAGTTCTGGATTTTGACTGGGCCATTCTAACACATGAATATGCTTTGATCTAAACCATTCCATTGTAGCTCTGGCTGTATGTTTAGGGTCGTTGTCCTGCTGAAAAGTCAACCTCCGCCCCAGTCTCAAGTCTTTTGCAGACTAACAGGTTTTCTTCTAAGATTGCCCTGTATTTGGCTCCATCCATCTTCCAATCAACTCTGATCAGCTTTCCGGTCCCTGCTGAAGAAAAGCATCTCCACAAAATGATGCTGATACCACCATGTTTCACGGTGGGGATGGTGTGTTCAGGGTGATATGCAGTGTTCGTTATCCGCCACACATAGCATTTTGCTTTTAGGCCAAAAAGTTAAATTTTGGTCTCATCTGACCAGAGCACCTTCTTCCATATGTTTGCTGTGTCCCCCACATGGCTTCTCACAAACTGCAAATGGGACTTCTTATAGCTTTCTTTCAACAATGGCTTTCCTCTTGTCACTCTTCCATAAAGGCCAGATTTGTGAAGTGTATGACTAATAGTTGTCCTGTGGACAGATTCTCCCACCTGACCTGTGGATCTCTGCAGCTCCTCCAGTTACCATGGGCCTCTTGGCTGCTTCTCTGATTAATGCTCTCCTTGCCCAGCCTGTCAGTTTAGGTGGACGGCCATGTCTTGGTAGGTTTGCAGTTGTGCCATACTCTTTCCATTTTTGGATGATGGACTGAACAGTGCTCCATGAGATGTTCAAAGCTTGGGATATTTTTTTTTTATAACCTAACCCTGCTTTAAACTTCTCCACAACTTTATCCCTGACCTGTCTGGTGTGTTTCTTGGCCTTCATGATGCTGTTTGTTCACAAATGTTCTCTAACAAACCTCTGTGGGGTTCACAGAACTGCGGTATTTATACTGAGATTAAATTACACACAGGTGGACACTAGTTACTAATTAGGTGACTTCTGAAGGCAATTGGTTCCATTAGATTTTAGTTAGGGGTATCAGAGTAAAGGGGGCTGCCTACAAATGCACGCCACACTTTTCAGATATTTGTAAACAATTAATAAAAACCATTTATCATTTTCCACTTCACAATTATGTACCACTTTGTGTTGGTCTATCACATAAAATCCCAATAAAATACATTTAAGTTTTTGGTTGAAACATGACAAAATGTGGAAAATATTAAGGGGTATGAATACCTTTAAAAGGCACTGTAAGTAAATGCATGTGGTCTACTGTATATTATACTATATATTACAGAGACACAAACACATAATGGGGTTGATTTACTAAAATTGGAGAGAGCAAAATCTGGTGCAGTTCTGCATGGTAGCCAACCAGCTTCTAACTTCAGCTTCTTCAATTAGGCTTTGACAAAAAAAAAACAAAAAAAAACTGGAAGCCGATTGGCTTCTCCGCAGAGCTGCACCAGATTTTGCCCTCTCCAGTTTTAGTAAATCAACTCTCACGTGTCATCCTAAAGAAAGTTCAAGCTTACAAACAAAACAGATGATTAAAAGGGAACCTGTCACCAGTTAGAAATAGGGGAGCAGCTGTTGTTGCAGCCATTATCTTTATATTTGCTTCCCCCTATTTGGTGAGTCACTGACCTGGAACAAGTGTCTGCATATTAAGTGTACCAACACCTGATATGCATATGCTTGTTCCAGATCAGTGATTTGCAAAGTGATGAATGAAGATGACAGCCCTTAGCCGACACCTTGAAAATCAAGTCAGCCATGGAGGCATAGCCACTTAATTTTGACTTACAAGCCCCAAATATGCCATTTGCCACTGCATAAATTAATCACTTAAGTATCTCCTGCCCACTGAAGTAGAAGAAGAGGAACAAGAATTGTATAAACTACTAACAGCAATCCCATGTTCCCCTCCAACCAACTGCCCCACATTTAAGTCCCCTTCAGGCTCATTCAACAAGCTGGTGAAAAGAGCAAGAATTACGTACAAAGTGCATTAAAGCATATGTTCACCTTTTGTAACAAATTACACCCATACTAAGGGTGTCATATGTTACTGTAGAACCGGCCCCCGCTCCCGTTTGTGACAGCTAGTGAGGGATCTTCTCCTCCTGCTAGTGGCCACAATTTAAAAAAAAAAAAAAAAACGCTGAGGTGCAGGGCTCTGCCCACCCAGATGCATCACTCATTAACAGAATCCTGTGAATGGGAAAACTACAAGTTTCAACAGCCTTTGCAGCAGTCAGCTTGTAGTTCTCAGTGAAGTACCACGGCTGTTGTGCACTGTGGTAGTTCATCGATTCTGTCTATGTGTATCTTCTTGCCCACACGAGGTCTATAGGAGTCCTGCATGGCACCCATGATCTGCTGATCACTGGTGCAATGCTTTCTAGGCTCCTAAAACAAAAAAAAAAGTGCATTTATTATTTTTTGTTAAAATGTGAACTTATTCTTTAGCCCTGGTTCACACTGATGCGGTGCGGAATTTGCAGTGTCTTCAGTGCAAATTCCCCACCGCATTATAATCGCACCCCGTTCATGGGTACTGCTGCGGGTGTGTATGTTAAGTTAACAACACCCCGAAAGAAGAATCCTATTGCATAGGTGTGAATACCTATGCAATCAGATTCTAGTGCGGACCCAAAAAAGGCTCCTGCACGTTTTTGGTGCGGTGCGAATAGAGCCATACAAAATATATGGCTCTGATCGCACCGCATACAAATCGCATGTAATTTGCACAGGAATGCGCTGCGGTTCCTGTGTGAATCACATGCGATAAACGGAGCCACACGTATGTGAACCCAGGCTACATCCATATCAGCCAATATGATTTCAGCTGAAAGCAGCCATAATGGGCAGCACAGTGGCTAAATGGTTAGCACTTCCGCCTGGCAGTACTAGGGTCGTTGGTTCAAATCCCAACCACAGCACCACCTGCCTGTTTGCATGTTCTCCCTGTGCCTGCGTAGGTTTCCTCCGGGTACTCCGGTTTCCTCCCATACTCCAAAGACATTGGTTCCTGTCTAAATTGGCCCTAGCATGTGTATGAATGTGAGTTAGGGACCTTAGATTGTACGCCCCTTGAGGGTTAGGGACTTATGCAAATGTACAATTTATATGTAAAGCGCTGCGTAAATTGCTGGCGCTAGAAAAGTACCTGAAATAAATAAATACATAATCAGTGAACAATTAGAAAAAGCTCTTTATCTACTGATTTCGGAATGTCTGTAGGGGAATCTATTGTAGACTTTCTAAGGGTCAATACTGATGAAACGCTACATTTTTAAATTAGACATTGTAGAAACAGAGGTATCTAAAACAGCCAATACTGAAAGGAATATAAATCTATGAATCCCAGTTCTTTCCAAAAGAGAGAACTACAGCAGGGCAGGAGGTACAGTGAAGGGAAATATGTTGTGTGGATTTTTTTTAATTGGTAGAACTTATTATGAACAGCCTGTCCAGGGTACAAAATCTCTAGTTACACTTTTGTACACCGATAGCAAATGTAGTATTTCTACTTTTTTTCCTTTATACTGTATAAACAAATGAGCCTAGAGCAACATATGTCTATGTATGTTTTTGAAGCCCTACCTAGGTAATACAAAGACGTGTTCAAGGCCAGTAGAACAGAAGCAGAGCACATATGCTGTGTATAGTGAAGACCAAAAAGATTAATAAATATATTAATAACTTACAGAGACTTTAAATGGAGAGGTATTGGTAGGGTCCATGGAGCTGGCCTTGTCCGATGTGCTGGTTCCCGATATGCTTCTCCTTCGTGGTGACCTCTCGGCTGGCACCTCTGTACAGGTTAGAAAGAAAAAAAAAAATACCTGACATGAGACTGAAGAAAGGTCAGCAGTGCAAAAAACAAAACAAAACAAAAAAAACTTCATGCTCTAACCAGAACAAGCAGGGTGGATTGTCAAACAATAACAAGCATCTTTTTGTTTAAGCTTCTTGTGTGAAAAGATAATTGTTCTTTAGATTTCACAGTTGGGCTGCTCGGAGCAGACAAAATAAAGAGAATGAACTGTGCAGACAGTAAAGCATACACATTCTAAGCATACGTCTCTGGGAGTGGATTAGGATACAGTAGAGGACGCTGAACAGGTGAATTCCATTGAAGACAATATGCCTTACAAGATAAACAGACGGCCAGATACTTTGACTTACACGTTACTTAGATACGGATATTAAAAGAGAAAAAGAAAACACGCATTCGGCTTTAAGGCTAGGTTCACATATGTGTGGGTGGTGCCGCTGCGGGGCCGCACCCAGGGGCGGACTGAAAACTCATGGAGCCCCCGGGCAATAGGGGATCATGGGGCCCCTGTGTCCTTGCCCAAACTCAAAAAAGCCTATGAAAAAGGTACCAGGGGCATCTCATGGGGCCCCTACTGACCCCGGGCCCTCGGGCAGTGCCCAAGTTTCCCTGGCCGCACCACCCACACAGAAGAATGCAGACCCCGGGCGGGTGCCATTCATTCTAACGGCACGCCGCCCATACTGGAAATCGCAACTGTACTGGGAACCGAGGTTTCCGTGCAGGCTGCGTTTTCAGAAGTGAAGGGACTTCTTCCCTGCATGTCCCGAGGCACGGGAGCCCATTCAAATGAATGGGCTCTCGTGTCCGCGCAAACCGCGGCCTGCAGGAAAGCGGATATGTGAACCAGGGGTAATGCAGAACTGGAGCATCAATATAAAATTTAGGAGTAGGGCAGAACAATCCTCCAGTCCAGAAGAGGGCAGGACCTTTTAGGAGCCCATGCAGGCTCAAAAAAAGTCAATCTGCCAAGCTACCCAGCTCCTGAGCCTTGATTAGCCCTGATTCAAGCTTATTGGAGAACTCCAAAAAACAACAGTAAACAGGATTTTAACACCTGGCTAAAAAAAACAGTCAATCCTTGCTTAGTGTTAATATGAATAAAGGCAATAATTTACTGAAAAAACAATCTTGTGCAGCTCTGCATAGAAACCAATCAGCTTCCAGGTTTTATTGTCAAAGCTTAATTGAACAAGCTGAAGTTAGAAGCCGATTGGCTGCCATGCACAGCTGCACTAGATTTTCTCTCCAGCTTTAGTAAATAAACCATAATGTCTGAAGCCCATGGTCATGTAAAAGGTCGGTTCTAAATGTGCATCTCACTGGCAGTCCGTCTGCTTTCTAGCTTGCAGTACGTGCCAAAAAACTCCCAACTAATTCCCTGATGGACCTCCTACATTTTGCTACAGGTTCTTTGGTTTATAATGTCTTTTTACGGTTCAGCAACAATGAAAATACTTTTAAATAACTTTGTGCTCTATGTGCAGTATCCTATATTTGTATTTTTTTTCCTATAGAAGTAGAAAACCATAAATCAACACTTTATTTGCACCCATACTTTTCCAGCTCCATTATAGCATACATACTATGAATTAAACTAGTTCACCCAATTATGGTTTGTTTAGTAACCAAGGGCACGTATCACAGGTTTTCAGGAAATGTTTGCAAAATTAACTGGTTTTATCAGCTTATAATGGGAATTGCTGTTGGTTCCTATACATCTTTGGCTAGGTTGTAAAATAAGGCCAAATATGTCATAGTTACTAAAATAGCCACCATGTTAAATACTACTAACATAATAATCAGTCTAATTTAAAGTGTCGATGTAGGAAACATGTAGATTGTGGTACTATTGACAACGGTGAAAGAAAAGGTTAGGTGCAAAATTACAAAATTGTTTAGAATGGAGACAATACTGCTAATAAGAACTAGACATGTATATGCAATTGTGGAAGGTATAAAAACAACAAGCGTGTCAGTGGGGTTAAATTTACTAAAGGAGTAGAAGCTGTTCACTTTGGAAAGTGAACAGTGGTGACGAAGCTGTGTTTACTTTTGACAACCAATCATTTTTTTATTTCCTTTGCACATGATTGGTTATTCAAAGTGACCATATGACCACTGTTGATCATAGTCCTTCCCACTGGAATATCCCTTTCTTTGGGAGCATCTACGAGTTTACCTTAGGACTGCCGAAGGGAGCTTAACTAATATATAGCCCTATTAGGATTCTAAAATTTGCATTAAATAATTTAACCAAACCCCCATATATTGCTTTTATGACCACAGGAACACCTGATTTACAAATATTCACTTTGAAAAGGGTATATTCACTTTGCTAGGTAAACATCCTCCACTCCATTAGCAAATTAATCCTCTATCTCTTCCACTATGGGTCAACAATGGGTTAAAAGGACTGAATCTGAGCCCGTGTTTCAAAAAAACAGGAAAAAAAACAACCACATTCTTTGCATGTACCTTTATCACAAGTGCTACCCATCTCCACTTCAAAGCCTGGGCAGAATCCAACTTCTGAGACGCAACCAAGAATCCCACACATGGATCTACATCCTATGCAGTACTGCACTGGCTCAAAGAAATGCCGGCGTAATAGCAGAGGCTGTACAGCCTGGCCCAGTCCACTGTTCTCGGGAAACTGGCGCAGCGAAGACGAACAATCCTGGCCTTTTGGCCCAGGGGATCCGTGCTACTTCCAATTCTGAAAGAAGCTGGATCTGATCCTGCCGCTCTCCCCCTCCCCTGGCAGTGTGCAGAGAGCAAGGAGATACACACAGACGACTGCAGCTATTCAATCAATTGCCTCAACTGCACATCCTCATTAGATATCAAGCTATTTACAGATGCTGAAGCACTCTGGCGTTTAGTCGGAGAAAGTGTCACCAGCGTGCCTCAATCCATGCAAACAAGAAACACATACTGAATATTACTGCTAACCTGTGCCACTGCAGAACTGACAATGCAATCCAAAAAGGGTTTAAGCCATTTATTCTCAAAAGGATGCAAAACACAAGATTACTAGTAATAGATCAGTTGAAAATCAGTACCAACAGGAAAGGCCTAAACATTAATTTACAACCACAAACTTGGTTTGGACTAGATGAGAATCAGAATATTAGATAAAAGCAAAATATACATTCATTTTGATTTTTAAAGGGTCTTTGTGTTCTGCAGCACAATATACAATGTGAAGGCATATGTGGACTACAACAAAAAGATACAAAATATAAATAATGGAAAAAAAGAAAATCACAAAAACAACTGACACAAGAATGGAACCTGCACAAAAAAGCATACAAACAACACGAACTTAAAAAAAAAAAAAAAACAGAAAAAGTTTAATTTAAAAAAAAAAACCCTTAAAAAAGTTAATAATGTAAATAACTCTGTTGCAAAAACTGTTAATTCAGCAACTAGGCTACCATCAATGACTAAAGAAACAGTTTGCATAGTGAATGCCTTGTGTCAATTAAAACGTAACAACAGAAAAGTCCAGACAATTTTCTGAAGAGGCAACAAGATACAAAATTCTCCCTAGAAGTTAAAGCGATTCAGCTTCAGCACAAAGAACGACAAGAAAAAGTTTTGATCTGAGCCGGTTATGAATACCACAATAGTCCTATTTTCCCCCCTTTAATATTCCACAATAATTGCCTCCTCTGCAAAATTACAGCTCACTCAGCAGTCAGAGAAAGGGCTGTTTGTTAAGGTGAAGGTACGGCCACAGATTGTGCATTCGCAGCTTGGCACTGAAGCTCTTCCTCCTCCTCCTCCAACCTCCATTATCACCGGACCTCTCTCTATTTTTTTTCCCTCATCAGCAGTGGGGGACACTGGGCTGGAGTCACCTTGCAGAATAACAGTGAGATTCCCTAGTGTCATTGCTCTGCGTTCTCAAGACGTCAAGCCTGAAGTCGCATGCTGTGGATCCTCTCCCATCCACAGGGAAAGTTGAAGCAGAGTCAGAAAAAGGCAGACTGCAGGTCCGTCAAGCCGAGTTAGAAAGATCTACATCTGCTCTACCGTAATGAGCCGTCTCTGCCCCCAGTCATCCACCCCCCCCAGCATGCTACACACTACTGTTGCATTATCACCTGCTGCAAAAATCAATGCAGCTCTCCTCTGCTTAATGCTTCCTATCTCATTGTCATCTGCACTTAGTCCGGGGAAAGCATAACTGGCGTCCAATAAACAAATAACATCTAATAAAAAGGTTGCATTAAAAGGCAGAGTCTGCCTTGTGCAGCATAGGAGGAAGCCGTAGCAAGGTTCACCTCCAGAACATTCAATGCAAGCAACAGTCCGCAAACAAGATCCTCGAGTAATCTAAAGCCAGTGTCCGAGTCAGCAAACGGATGTGGGCAGGAGAAGGAAAAAAAAAAACCTTGAGATAAGTCACAGTTAAAGCCTCAGCAGAGATGCTCTGGAAAGTCGCCTATCTAGTTTGACTGCTGGAAGGGAATTTGGAGTATTTTTATGCTCTGCTGGTGTGTAGGTATACAGAACACACAGCCAATAAAACATGGTAACTAGCTAAGCAAGCTATCAGGGGAAACCAGAACAACATCTGTCTACTACAAAAAGGGGGAATCTGTGCTACCCAATGATTACAAGAGACATGGAGGCATTCAACATAAATCAGTATTTTCACAACGGCTGTTTGACATTTACTAAGCCACTAAAGCTATCAGGCAAGGTGATCAAAGGATCTTGTAACACAGATATATATGCAAAGGGTACCATAGCTACATAGAAGCTGGGACAACTGGAACTGCATGTGTATTAGATGTGATGACTAATATGTGCAGCATTATTATTACAGGGGAAATCTCCAAACTAAACTACTTATTCAGGTAAAGGGTTAACAAAAAAAAAAAAAATTATAATTTATTTATTACAGGTATTTATACAGCGCCGTCAATTTACGCAGCACTTTATTATTATTATTATTATTATACAGGATTTATATAGCGCCA